AAATCCACCAACTAGTATTTGACAATTTTCTTGGTTTCTGGAGACCTTGGCAATTTTTTCATCTTCCTGTGAAAACAATCACCATAGTTGAATTCAGATGAAGGAAAACATGATTTGGTAAAACACAAAGCGGAGTGGTTTGTCAACCACCATTAAAGATAAACCAACTTCATAGTAAGTATGAAATAAGATAACAAGTGGCTGTAAGAGAAGAAAATTATAACTGCAAATTTATACGAGATACACTTAAATAAGTCTAACAAAGGGGGTACTAGATGGATTAGGACCAGTTCACGCACCACCAAAATATCAAAAAAAGGAGCATCTAAGTGCTAAATCGAAAAAGAGAAAGTAGTTCAGGAGGTTGACCAACTTCCAAGAGTAAACATTCCGAGTGTAAGAGAATGTTAGAAGGAAGTTGAATGACCGTGCACCAGTTCTTATGGTCTTCCGAGGCTATTCAAGATTACCTGAGTTTTTTGTAATTTTACAGACTCCCAGAATTACTAGGTTTATATTTTGATTTGATTTGTTTAGAAGAGTTGGTAACACCTTGGTTCTTATTATGGATAGAATCTTCTCTTTCATCTATCCAAAGAGGAAAGACATAAAAGAAGGAAACAAGAAAGAGAAGAGAAGAAGAAAGAAGGAAGAAGGAAGAAGTCATAATTTTGCTCTAACTAAAATCTTGTTCCTTTCCGACTAACTGCTAAGTAAAAAACCAAAGATTGTGAGTTTTGAGAGCACTAGAGTAAAGGGGGAAAGGGCCATAGAAACAGTTGTGGAAATCTAATGGCCCCTAATGTTAGTTGTTTTACGCTGTTAGTTACACACGATGTAAGCCGTACTCGTGCAACCTTCAGACTAGAGGATTGGCAATATGCAACAAGTGCTTAGCATTCAATGGTTAAGTGGGGGATTGGCAGCAACCTATTTGCAGTAAACAGTGGCAAGTCAAACCTGGTCTTTATTTCTTAACAAATTCAGAATTCCTTCTGTTAAGTCATACACAGGGAAGGAGCTATTGAGTAGGTTGGCTGTTAGGTGAATGAGGAAATCAGTAAGGAAGGTCTGGAATACAGTCTCAGACTGTGTCTATTGGGTATTATGGAAAGGAAAGAATGTCAGATGCTTTACTAAGGAAATTAAATACTTACAGAAGATTAAGCTATAGATGCATATGGCTTTTGGCTTTTTGGTGTAGCTTACAGGATGTTGAAGATGAAAATAGCATATGCTAGATTTCATACTCTTTACAGGAATAGGAGCATGTACAGCTGGAACCCCTTCTTTATGTTTTAATATAATTACCCTGGAACCATCTTAGTGCTAAGATTCTTATTTTCACATGCATTATTTAACTGTTCAAACAAAAAAAGTGAAAGGGAAACTTTCGTCTCCTGAGTAGGGGAATTTGCAGGTGGAGCTTACCAGACCCATAAAAAGAATCCCTGGGCTCCATACATGTGGGCTATGTGTTAAAAGTAATACTAATACAGTAATTCTAGATCAGAAAGTTGTATGGCGGAAGCAAATTAGAGATGAGCACGACAAAGACAAAAAGAGAAGGATAGAAGGGAAAGAAATTCTAGGAATTCCTACCAGCGTCCTTTGGAATACCTGGGAATGATAAGGTTGCTGCAAGCTTGGCAGAACACAACAATGTACCCAGTGCAATCCCACAAGCTTGAACATAGAAAGAATTAGAATTTTATAAACTTACTTTTCTATACATCTAACAGCATCACCTTGAAAGAGTTGTATGACTTTTTCATTGTTTTTTGGAAATACCTCCATTCCACCTCGTGGAACAATAGAGAATCATTTGCAGTGACCTCTTCAAGGAGATAAAAATGAATTATTTCCTGTTATGTAAGGGCTAGACAAAAATTTTACATTTTATGATAATTATAGTTAAAAGAGTCTAAAAAAAAAGTCTCCAGTCTGCTCAAAAGGCTTGCAACAATAAAGTTGTTGCTGGACACACAACTGCCTATATCAATTGTGACATAAGTTACTACATGGTAATGAAACAAGACTTAGATATTCTCTAGTCAAAGTCACTTGCATCAGATGCTGCACAAATATAAGAAGCTATGATGCCATTTGCACTCCATGTGCTTAAAAGATAGGAAGCTGTTTCAGCATGTTACAAATGTCTTTAAGTTAAAAGGATATTGTTACTACGTGTCTACATCATAAAGAATCTTGGTTGATCCAATGTTTAATAATAAATCTGCATTTGAACTGCACAAGCTAGATAATGAAAATTTCAAGAATTTCAAATTAGGACCTTGACTGCTGATTAAAGGTACTCTACAGTTCTGCGCTCTTCATCCCCCCCCCCCCCCCCCCCAAAAAAAAAAAAGAGTTGTGTTTCCACTCTACCTTTGCTGTACCTTCCAGAAGAGAATGAGCCAAACAACCAAACAAAGTTGTACCAAATAAGTTCCACAATAAAGAGGATTCTTTTTTTTACAAAACAATCATCTCATTGCCCATCTATAAAGCTGAAACACCCATAAAACCCAGGAAATGTTTTAATCATCAGATCATAAAGACACCTCATATCTCAATTAGATGAAGCACGATTAGGAGAAAAACACTATTACTCACTAATCAGTCAAACCTAATAGCTATTAAAACTTAGAATTATGACTAAGTTCTTTGCTAAGTTACAAAAGTGAGATCAAATATCAGACAGATTCTGAAATTCAGTCTCAGGTCTGCACTTGCTGAAAAGGGTCAATGGCAATGAATCATCGCTACCGCAAGTAAACCTGGAGATCCTCACTATGATAAAAGAAAGAACTAACATCCTTGAAACTATAGATCATCAACTGTAAAAGAAACATTCAATTTCCTAAAGGAAAAGTTGATGACAAAATATATGTGACAATGGTGAAGAATCTCAAGATTTATTACTATGATCTCAATCAGATACAATGTCAGTTTCCAATAGACACATCGTGGACATGTTCTAGAACATACTGAACTCCAACAACTATCAGAGAAAATCCTTAAATTCCTAAAAGAAAAGTTGATGGTAAAAAGCATGGATATGTGAGGAATCTAAAGATGTGCCACCATAATCTCAATCATGCACCACATAATTTTCCAAAGAAACACTCCATTATGATCTCCTTAACTTTTATTCAATGCAAGACCAATAATATGCTGGATACTGAGTTTTGTTGTGCCCAATGCCCCTAAAATCTATTTATGTGATTGTGACTACGACCACTAGTATGGAAGGATAAACGAGACAACACTCAACTACCTAACTAACTTTTTTTTTTTTTGATGACAAGGGAAACCCGCAGCCGCTACCCTTTGGGTGTGCATAGGGTAGAACCCCTGCTCGTATGCAATAGCTCGCAAACCACATAGGAGAGGTAACCCGCACTAGGCAAGTCCGGTGCGATGAGCTCGACCCAAAAGGCAAACCCCTTGCTTTCACTGGCAAGGGGTTTCGAACTTGAGACCTCCAACATGGAAGTCCCAAGCCCAAATCACTGGACCACCCCGAAGGGTAATTACCTAACTAACTTTCTACCCTTATCTATGTGATTGTGTCTTTCATAACCTCTTATCTAAGGACAACTCCTAGGTCAGAAGTTGTGTCATGTATTGTCAAATCACCTCTCCCCAATAGTTCCTCAGCCAACCTCTACCTCTCCCAAAACCATCCATAGCCAACCTTTCACACCTCTGCACAAGGACATCCGTGCATTTTCTCTTCACATACCTGAACCATCTCATCCTAGCTTACCGCATCTTGTCCTCAATCAAGGCTACTCCCACTTTTTCTCAGATATCATCATTTCGAATCTTATCACTCTTAGTATGCTCACAATCCCAAAGCAGTGTAGGTGGGCTATATGAATAATCTGTGTCCATTACACTCAATTCAACAGCCTGTTTCATTCCAATACAAATAAATCTGTCCTAATACATATTGGAGCCCGAAAAGTAATCCTTAGTATCAACTCTACTCTATTCAAACTTGGTTCATTTCAATACTAAATAATCCGTCTTTTATTACAAAATCAGGAATTCTCTATATATTGAAGTTTATTGAACTCACATTTCTGCTTAAAAGGATATACGAATCTCCAAGATATCTCTTGAAGTAGAGAAAGGCAAAAAAATAAAAAACAAAAGCAACTTCTCCTTCCCAAGTTATATAACACACTCCATATTTTGGGACTACCAAAATGTTTACACGATTCTTCAAAAAAATAATTACTATATACTACTTTTTTAGAGGGGATTCCGATATATAGAACTTTCAAACTAACTTGTTAACTACTAATCCAATATTTTCACGTTTCTTCTATAATGGTGATGTCTAGGCTACTTTACTGCTTGTCAATTAAACTGCTGGGTACATGCTACCTTCCACCAACAAACAAAAAAGTACAAGATATCATTCCACCAAAACTCATACTTTTGTCTAGATATGACCCCTTGTTTCCTAGTGTCCATTGCAACTTTAGTGATGGTTGCATTCCAATACTAAAAACACTACCAGAGTGGAAACTTGAATTCTCTATCTACTTAACAATAACTTTTACTTTATTCATTTCAATACAACATTATTCGTCTTTTAGTAAAAACAAGTGAAATTCTTTAGATCTTTTGGTTCTCTAAATCCTACATGTATCCTTCCAAGAAATCTAAGTCAGTAAAATGCCAAACAAAAAAATAAAAGCTAAGATCTCCGTTCCAATTTGTATAACACTGTCTAAGTTATAAAAATGTTTGATACAATTACACAAATAACACAAGTTTTGCAATATTTAAACAAACTCGACAAACTACTATTTAATTCCTTCATCAAGTTAATATCTTAAACTATACATTCAGTCAAACACCATCATTAAAAATAAAACTCAAAGCAATTTGGAGTAAAATTGAAGCTATGAATAAGGAGATCAATTCAAACAATCACTATAACAATAAAGAAATCAAGTAGCGGTAACTGACCTAGATGATGGAAAAAACTAGACATTAGCAGTCTTAGGAATGAGAGGAATGGATTGATGTCCCTTTTGCTTCATTCGTGCTTCCTCTTCACGGATTTTCTGCATCTGAAGCATCCGTTCCATAACAAGCTCATACGCACACTTTTCATATGTATGGCGTTCATCCTCGCACTTCCATGGAAGATAAAATTCCGATTGCCGACACTTGTTCAAAGGGATCAAAAGGTGTGCGCACTGATCCCTATATGCTAATGGCACTTTGTTTTCCACCATTTCTTCTTGTGTTGCGATCATCTTCTTCGATGAACCGGGAACCTCCATTGCCAAATTGACTTTCGCTGTTCGATTTTGGGATTTTTCTCGGCGAATTTTCTCCTCTTTCCGATCGCTCTAGAGATTTGCTGTTGTGGTTTGAGAGGTATTGTTGGGCTTTTGGGATATTTTGAGGAGGTATTTGGGCTTTGGATGTTTGGGGTTGTAATGATTGGGCTAATCTTTAGGCCCAATAAAATTGTGTTTTACTAATAGCTTTTGGAATTTTTTTTCGAAAACTTACATAAAACTCATTAGTTTAGGAGCTAATTACTGGGCCCGTTTGGCCATGCGATATGATATCATAATATAAAATCATGAGATAAAGTTAAAGTTTTGTTTGGACATGCGATATGAAATTCTTGTGTTGTATATTTTCTCATAAACATAAGAATCTCATAAGTTGTAAAACTATTAATTAAATAGCCCAAGTTGTTTATTCAATCTCACCAAATAATCAAAAATTTAAAAAATCGTATAATAAATTATTACAAAGCTATTTGTTCTCCACTTAAGTAACTGTTTCATCTAACTTTAATTGATCAAAATTTAATTCAATAAAAAAAATTGAACATAAATTGTAGTGTACTAGTCTTTAATATAATCATTCCACATAGTACGGACAATCTCCTCACGTTGAACTTGCATTTCAACCAATATTGTTACTTTGAGGCATTTCTTGGTCAATATCATTTGCAACTATATTTTCATGCTCATAGACCATAAATTTTTCATCACTTTTTTGGTATTCTCGCAAATAATTATGTAACATTGTACAAGCTATAGCAATTTTCACTTGTGTGTCAATATCATAATGGTTCATGCCTTGTTTCACTTGTGTGCAATTACACACTTTCAGTGCATTAATTTCATGCTAAAATCAAATATATTGGAAGTAGTGATTAACAAACATATATCACCAACTTTGTCTTTTTTCATATTAAATTGCTTTAAACATTTTCATATGTAGCCGAAAGATAAGTTTTTTAATTATGAAAAACTAAAAATGTATTACTCCCTCCGTTCTTATTTATATTCACCAAATCAATTCCCACTTTAACATTTATATTCACCAAATTTAAAGTAATAATAAATTTTATGTTGGTGAGAATAATAAATTTTAAAAAGTAATGATGTGATTATAAATTTTATTTACATATGAAATAGTAGATATAAATGTGGAGTTGTTTTAACAAAATATAAACTTGTGGGTCAATTTTTGTATTTAAAAAATCACAAATCATAATATGGAATCCCCAAATCATGATTTTTGGAGAATATGGAATTCCATCTCATGATATGGAATCAGCATGAAATCGCATGTTCAAACGATATCTCATGATTCCATATCGTAATATGGTATCGTATGGACAAACGCTTACTTAGATTCACTCTACTTTGCAATATTACGAATCTTACCAGATTTTGGTGCAGCAAGATACATTTTGGATACATCCAGATATATGTATCTCGAGATATATGATGTCAAAATTAGGTGTAATTTGTTCGAAATACACTGTATCCAAGTGGATTTGCATGTATCTGAGATACATAACAAATCTCCCTCGCCTCCCTCCCATCTCCCTCGCCTCCCTCCCATCTCCCTCGCCACTCTATATATATGGTATCTCATTTATATGTGAATCACACCAGATACATACATATACATGTATCTAGTGTGTATCTAGTATTATTCGCATGTATCTCAGATACATATGAATATTGCTTGCCTCTCTCACTATTTTAGTGTATCTAGTAACAAAAATACATGTATCTGGTTGTATCTTCCTCAATATATGACAAATAATTCTTAATTAGTGGTAAGATACGTAATATTTTGAAAGTATAGATAATAATAATAGTATATATAGTAATGAAATATATCCAATTATGTGGTTTTCTCCAAAAAATATTATATCAAATAGCGATTTGTAGGATCGACAATTGGAATTCGAAAATGGCTATACCTCGAAATTAAAAGGCATAAATTAGTTTTAAAAATAGAAAGAAATTCTAGGACGATTTTAAATCTATGCTGGTGAAATTCAAAGATCATGTCTTAAAGTACAAAATTATGCAAAGTAAAACTCAAGAATCATATCTAGGAATTCAAAACAATGCAAGTGAAACTCAAGGATGCGTTCTAGAGTTTGAAGTATTGCAAGCGGGCATGATATGATCACAAGAATTAATTATGTAGTCCATCTATATCGAATTAAACCACTTGCTTCACCGTTTGTGCGGATCCCCATCAATTTCTTTGACTTTCATTCTTATGAATTTACTTTCTATACATTATACTTAACGTGTTAGCTATAGCATTGCATGAATTGATACGCGCGCACACAACGCCTACACCTAGTATCCATCATTTATGACTAGAATTACTGGGGTATTTAATCCAATTCGATCCTTTAACTTTCGTCCCTCAGTATCAGTGTCGACCCAACAAAATATTTCTGTATGTTATCAACGTTGGATAACTTAATTCTATGGTGTAAATATCTTGTTTTTACTTATACATCATATACATTTATATACACACAAAATTAAAAACCTATTCATTTTAAAAAAATATTATTATGAAAAATATTTTTCATCGTATCAAACAGTACACCTTGATGTTGTCATGTACTAATAGTCTCTCTTGTCTCAACACAATAACTCATCATTCTCACACCTATATTGTACTTCTTGACAGTCGTCATCATCCCTTCCCAACAAGTGCCACCGCCAAAAAAACAAAAACAAAACTATGTTATTTTTTTTTTTCTAAGTCTTGACAAATTACTAGTCATAAGTTATTTATTGTTCATCACCAAATTAAAGAATATTGTGATAGGATGTAAAATATTATCTTATTTATAATCTACAAATTCAAACTAGAGCTATTTATCAGTTGGTTCAATTTGATTTTGTTAAATCGGTAATCGAATCATTAAGTTGTCAAAATATCTATAAATCTAGATAAGGAAAAAGGATAAATATACCTCCGAACTATCGTAAATGACATGCAGATCCTCCGTCATACTTTTGGACATTGGTACCTCTGCCATAAAAAAAACTAGAGCATATATGCCCTTCACTCTAACGGAAGACTAAATAGGGACACGTAGCGTATCTTATCCGTCGATCCGATATTTAATAAATATGTCGGATCGATAAATAAAATTATGACACGTGTATGTCCGTTAGTATAAAGGGTATGACGGCATGAGCACCAATGTCACAAAAGTATGATGCAGAGTATCTGCATACCATTTACGATATAGTTTGGTGGTATATTTGTCCTTTACCCCATCTAGATATGAGAAAGATGGGAGAAGGGTACTAAAGTGTCACGACCCAAAAATGGACGTGATGACACTCGTCTTAGCCCACCAAGACAAGTCAGCCTAAAACTCAACCATTACAATAAAATGCGGAAACTTTTATAATAAACTCAAAAATACCCCAAAAATCTGGTTGTCACGTGTACAAGCCTCTAAAGTATTACAATTGATTCAAAAGAAAAACACAAGTCTCAAATGACATTGTTTCTAGAATAGAACAAGATCATAATTAAGGAGAAAGAAGGTCCACTGAAATAACAAGCAGCTACCTCCCAAACCTCCACAAGAAGCCTCAGACAGGGAGAAGAGAAAATATCACAAAGGTCCGGGCTAGTAACCTACAAAAAAATGTAGTAGCAAGGGGTGAGTACCAAACCACGCGGTACTCAGCAAGTAAACCTCTAAACACAAGCTAAGGGGATAGAATACGAGTACTCCTTACACCCCAACCGAACCTCCACAACTACAACATGCATAAAATCAGCACAACCTAACAGTTCACAATTCACATAGCAGATATCTCAACAACAACACTCTAACAATTACATATCCTCAACAGCAAGCTCAATATTCATCAATTGCAATCTCCACAACTACAACTTGCTTAAAACCAGCTCAACCTAACAGTTTACAATTCAAACAACACATATCTCAACAACAACACTCTAACAATTATATATTCTCAACAACAAGCTCAATATTCACCAATCAAAGTTCCACAGAAAGACACTCACAAGATCAGCAAAACACGATATCAAGGTCAATAATGATAAATATGTGCAATGCAATGGAGTGCAATGTCAAGTATAGTGATGCATGTCTGACCTAGTGATACACACCCGCTGTCTCTCAGTCCGGGACCCATGGGGGACATATCTGTCCATGCATCCATCGCGGCGCGCGATACGACCCTCGATAATAGTAACCATCGCGGCGCGCGATACGTCCCTCGAAATATAGTATCTGTCGCGGCGCGCAACACGTCCCTCGAAATATAGTATCCATCGCGGCACGCGATACGTCCCTTGAAATGGTACATCCTCTTTATTTTCTTATTCTTTCTCAATGCACATAACACTTGTCAGAACCATGTCTCAGAACAATGCAAATGACATGTTCACACAAATAATGAGGAAGATGGGAGAAGGGTACTAAAGTTAACAAGTTGAATTACTAATTAAACTGTTAAAGAAATTCGATCATATCTGTATTGAAACTCGAATACACTCGCATGGATAATAATTGCATTCACATATGTTCCCAAATCAAAAGAAGTGTAATTAACGGCACGAAGAAGCAAATTAAATTATTTTCAAAGTCTAACTATAGACTAATTTAATAAACAAAGTTGAAAATAAAATTTAATAGATAAAATAATAATAATAACTAAAACTGACATTATGCTTGATCTTTAGCAAACAGGATCCACAAGAACATACCTAATAAACGCAATGACACAAAATGGCAAATCAAAACTGGACAAAAACTTCAATAATTTTATATACATTTGGAATATTTATTTTGACTACTACCTAAGTTATAATATATAATATATAATATTATATATACTAAATGCAAGAGGCCTAATAAAGCATACTAAAAATGATCTTATATACTCTCTCCGTCCCATTTTATGTAGCACTTTTTGGATTTCGAGATTCAAACAAGTCTATCTTTAACTGTAAGTTTTTCATAGATCTTTTAAACATTTTGAATTGTCAATTATTGCGACTTATAGTACTTTGAATGTAGTTTACAAATATATAAATTTCATTTCAAAAAAATTGAAGATTTCATGTGCAAATTTCCAATCAAACTTAAATGATTTGACTTTTGAAAAACGAAAAGTGTCACATAAATTAGGACAGAGGCTAATTTTGTCTCAATGTATATTGCACATTTCTCTTTTTAGTTAGTCACAAGAAAAATACACATTTCATCATTCACAAATGTTGTGATAATGCATAAGTATCTCCTAAACTATTACCGAAATTTCAGCGACACACCTTAACTTAACTAGGGTCTTATTATCCTCCCTAAACTATTTTAAATGGAATAAATACACCATAAATACTGAAGTGGTATAGTTTAAGGGGGATAATAAGACTTTAGTTAATGACATGGAATCGCAAACTTTCACCGAAAAAACATTAATAAAGCACATTCAAAGGCCAAAACATTGACATTAAATTCTAAAAATACCCTCGACATGAAACATATACGTCGATAAAGAAATTTTAAATTTTAAAAATATCCTCGACATGAAGCAAACACGTCGATAAAGAGATTTTGAAATTTCAAAAATACCCTTGATATGAAGCAGACACGTGAATGAAGAGGTGTTTGCTTCTTCTATATATATATATATATATATATATATATATAATTGCTGTTATTATTATTATTAATATTATTATTATCTTTTTGTAATATTAAAGTTGACAGCCAAGAAGAAGGTGATGAATGAGCAATTTGTCTGAGAGTGAGTAGAAGATATGAAATGAGAGAAAGGGAGGCAACGTTTGCTGGTCGGTGGACCCAAATGTTACACTACACTGTATTATCATCACATCATCCCAGGCTAATTATTTCAAAAATATTTATTCGCGCTTGATATTTACATATTATTTTAGGTTATGATACTTTTCGTTATTAGTTAATGAATTGATGAAGTTAAAATATGTATTAGTTAATCATATGATTAAACGGGAGAGATGTAGATTGGTTGTGAAAATTTTGTCCTTCAAAAAAATTGAAGTTCTAAAAACTAATTTCACTTATAAAACTTTTTTAAAAATTTAAGTAAAATGTCCAAACATAACATTAAAAGTTCAAGTTTTCAAATTTTAACTTCAAAATATGGTCAAATATGAGTGAAAAAATAGAAATTTTTACCTAAACTTTTTTGTATAGAGTACTAACTAAACTACAAAACTCTTCATTAATGTTATTTAGCTATAATTTCACAATGGATTATTATAAAATTATGTAAAGTATGAATTACTTAGTGACAGATTTACGAGGAATTTCATAACTAATTATATCCAATCTTTTGTTTGCCTTTTTTCCAATCATTTTTTGCATTTTAAGTAGTGATAAGAAAGTTTAAAATAGAGAAAAATGAATATGATAATTTGGTGCACTAATTAAGCTTTCGTTATGAGTATAATATGAAGAAAGATCAGATCAAAATGATTTATTGTATATAATTTTATTTTATATTTTTATAAGAGGATGTTTTCATAATTCGAACTTGTAATTACCTCTTAAAAATCTCTATGTTTTCAGTGTAATTGCTATTTTATAGATATTTTGATTGAAAGACGAGAAAAAAAAATAGTAGTATTGTTTTCATATGAAAAAAATTAAGAAGTTACACATTATTTCAATGTGAATCTGATTCTCATCATGCATTTTCTTAGCAAATCGATTCAGTAATCATATTTTATAACATACATTTCTCACTAATTCACGGAGAGAAAAAAAAACCTTATTTCTAATAATACATAAATAAAATTGAAAAAAAATGATAGAGATGAGAAATAGGATAGGGGTGGGGGGTGGGGGTGGGGGGTGGAGGGTATTATGGATATGTGTTTGTCTATGCATGACACCTAAAACACATATAGAGGAACCTCACATAGCATCTTTTCTTCAAAAAAATTCATTTTATAGCAAAGAGTTAAAGGAGAGAGAGAGAGAAAAAAAAAACACAAAATAGTTCATAGATATCATGGGATGAATATTCTCTTTAATTCCTCTTACTCAAGTCTCACTCACTTAATTATTTTAAGTTCTTGATAAGGTTGTAAACTTCTTATTTTGGTTAATTAATTTTCCTTCATCTTTGTTATTAATTGAGTTAATTTTCTTTCTTTAATTTCTAACAAACAGCTCAAGGATTTAGAACACCAAAAAAGTAGATCAAGATCAAGAGGAAATTAATTATATCAAACAAAAGGTTTGTTAATGAAGCTTTGTTGAATTAAGTTCTTTTTTCCTTAATTTTTTTTGGTTAATTTTTATTTATTTATTTTAATAGATGGCTGGAGGTTCATCAACATCATCTATGTTTTTTGGAATGAGAGAAGAAGAATTAAGTCAAAATCAACAAGAAAATCTCCTTCAAGCTCAAGCACCATCAAAGAAGAGAAGAAATCAACCAGGCACACCAAGCAAGTATCTAATTAATTGATTAATTAGACTAATTTTATGAAAAAGAAATTTTCAATTATTTTTAAAAAAAACATAAGAACAAGAGAGAACACTAATTTATTTTTTCTTTAATTTATTATATTAATCTATCTATAGTATGAATAAAAGTTGAAAATAATAGTTTATAACTCAAGTTCAAGTTTTACCTTAAAGAAATTTGAGGAAAACCCTAATTTGTTAGGTTCTTCAATTTTTTGTGAATAAAACCACTCTTCCCAGTAATGGACTATGAAAAATCAAGGAAGACAAAAAAGAAACCGACTAAAAACTTGAACCGCTTGATTAACCCCTTCATATATAATTCATTCATTAATGTTGGAATATATAGTTGAAACCAATCAGAAGTGCAAATCGCGATAGCAGAAAATGATGAATTTTCTTTCACATATATATGATGAACTATGAGGGTATAGTCAAACAAAAATTGAAAAAAATCCATTTGTTTAACTGACCCTTTCATAGTTCATTCATTCTAGAATTTCGTATGTTTAATTTTCACCATTTATAAATCATAAATATAACTTTGTTACTAATAATTCGTTTTTTTTTGTTTTGTTTTATTGTGGTGGGATGAATAGGTCCAGACGCAGAAGTGATAGCGTTATCACCAAAGACTCTAATGGCAACAAATAGATTCTTATGTGAGGTATGCAACAAAGGTTTTCAAAGAGAACAAAACTTACAACTCCATAGAAGAGGACACAATTTGCCATGGAAATTAAAGCAAAAAAATACAAAAGAAGTTGCAAAAAGAAAGGTGTATCTTTGTCCAGAACCAACATGTGTTCATCATGAACCAAGTAGAGCACTTGGTGATCTTACTGGGATTAAAAAACATTATTTTAGAAAACATGGTGAGAAAAAATTCAAATGTGAAAAATGTTCAAAGAAATATGCTGTTAAGTCTGATTGGAAAGCACATACCAAAACTTGTGGCACTAGGGAGTATAGATGTGATTGTGGCACTCTTTTCTCCAGGTACGAAATTTCGTTTGTCGCTAATCTGTCACTAAATTGCTCGTAACTATAACATGATAATGTGACTATAGTGATAGAAGTTGTTTTATTTGTTTATTGCTAATTCCTAAATTTCATTGCTAAATTATTCGTGGCTATATAACATGATTATGTGACTATTTATAGTGATAGAAGTTGTTAATCTGTCGTTAAATTATTCATAGCTATGACAGGATTATGTGATTGTATAGTGATAGAAGTTGTTTATTTGTCTGTTGCTAATTCCTGTTTTTTTTCTCTAGTGAACTCGTCTATTTACCTTTCTTTTACTTTTCTTTTTGTCTTGGTCACCTTAAGAAAAAAAACGAATTGATTATGGAATTCGTCACTAAATAGATTGTAGCTAATATTTTTTTTTGATGATTTAATGTTAATTTGTCATTAAATAGAATTAGCTATTATTTTTTTATTGTATTGTCGCGTCTATGTTAATTTATTTATTTTTAAGTAGGGAACTCGTCTATCTATCTTTTTTAACGACTAAATTCTCTGAGTGTTATCGACTTTTAGACACAAAAATTAGAATTTAGAAACCGTTTTTTTCTTAAATGTTGTAATCAGTCAAACTACGTCATATAAATAACGTAAGAAGGCACACTTTTCGTGAAGTGCTTAATATTGTTTTTTTTCTTGGATTTTCGATCGTGTCTTAATTAGTTTGGTAGTGTGACTGATCATCCTTTCGAACCAACTATTTATTATTTGAAATTTGAATTTTGGATTTTATTATTTTTATTTTATTTTATTCATGATGATGAGTCTTTTGAATTAAGTTTGGCATCTTTTTTAGTAGTATTTGTTTTTTTCCCAGGTGATGAAAAAGGGGAGAAATGAAAGGAAAAAGTTTTTTCCATTTTTTCTTGCAGTTACAAGATTCTCTTTTCTTTTTTTTAAATAAAATAAAATAATAATAATATTTTTTTTCTCTCTTTATCTTCTTTCTTTTTGTTTTTTTCTCTCTGGTAGTTTTTTGTTTTTGTCTTTGGATCTTTTACTATTAGACAATGTGTACACGTGAAATTATTATTACATTGGTTGTATTTTATTTTGTCTTTTTTCTTTACCACGGGTAGTATATAAGTTTTTTCAAAAAAAAAAAAAAAAAAAAAAAAACTATTTTATTTTATCCATCTATATTATTTTTTCTTTCAAGGGCTCGCTTGATAAATAAGTTATTTCAAGATTATACTAATAAGATATAGATAGTGGTATCAGATTAAATATGAATATATTTTTATTGTAATGTTTGATTTATTAGATTAAAAATGGATTATAAGATGAATAAATTTTTATTATTTTTATTTTAAGTTTGTTCTTATTTTTTTTAAAAAATAACTTTAACGACGAGCAAAGCAATATGTTATTTTGTTGTTTTACATAGAAATAGAGTATTATTCTTTCTGTAATTCTTTACTTGTTGCATTTTGTTTTATAACAAAGTCGATTTGAGTAAGATAGTTGATGTCTAAAAACTATATGAAAAGTATATCGAACTATAAATTGTACTGTAATTTTTTCATATTAATATAAAGAAAAAATCATTTTAAAATATTTATAAAAAAATATTTGACTATTAAAAAGCACTTAAATAATTTTGAAATTACTAATCTTTATATTTCAAAATTATAATTTCTTATCCCACGAATCAAATGAACGTAACATCGAGAGATACTCTCTCCTAGGGAGTATCGTCCTTTTTCCGTTACATTTACCTTTTCAAGTTATTCACGTGTTGCTATGTCCATGCATAAATAGTGGTAATACTTTGTCAGATTTTGTTCTTTTCTTAATTGGTTGCTATATTATTCCCTTTTCATGATAATTTTTTTTTTCTACTTTATCGTAATATGTAATATATTAATCGAGAGACGAATTCAGAATTATATACTGACTAATTTTGTATAATTAAGTTTTCTCGCGTTTTTATGATAGTAATTGTTTTCAAATATTTGATCTAGTTAGTTTTGAGTTTCGAAATGTAATATGTAAATAAAGATAACTGAATAGTTAGAATGTAAGGTATGAATTTAGTTATGTTGAGTTGTTTATGTGTTTTAAATTAATAATTTATAGATATAATTTTATTTTTTTAACTGGGAGTTTCATTTATTGAAAATCATATCCCAGGCGTTTCATTTCTTTGATTTTGACCATTAATTTCCCAATTTCTTTTGTTGCATTTATTTGTTTATTTATTGTGGAAAAGTTCACATCATTCATTTTACAATTTTGGCAAATTATTCTTTGACAATTCTTGATTATGTTTCTGTCAATTTTGACCACATTATATTTTCATTAATATAAGAAATTTTTATAACAACTTATCTTTACTTTTTATAATATGTAATTTATTTTATTTTTATAATTACAAATCATATATTTTAATGTTACTTAAAGTATCTTCCTTATATATAGAAATTTATTGTATATTTTGTTATTTTCCCTACAACATTAATTTGATAATGACATGGCCGCAAAAAAACTAATTTTAATTTATTGAATATTGTAAATGCATTTTAACTTTTTATATCCAAGTTTTCTCTTCTAGAATGGGACCATTTGAGTCATTTTCAAGTCAATTTCTTTTTCTTGTTTAGGTAAATTTAATTTTCGAATAATTATATAGTATGTAAAAAGTTTTTACTTAGACTAGCTAAAGACAATATTCTTGTATATTTGTTGTTACAACAGTCTATAATTTGTTAATTTTAGTCCTAAATATATACTATTGTCGTTGTCATAGTAGTGTAAGACAATTTTGAATTGGATGCAACTTAGTACTATATTTTAACTTATCTTATTTTTCAAGTTATTAATCTCACTTATTATGAACCATTTTGTGTAATTATCTTTATTTGGATTGAACATGAGGGTCTTAATTGGATTCTTATTTATTTATTGGTCAATGCAATTTCAACTACTTACTTCATCTAAATTATATCTATTATTTTTTCTTATTTCTTTTTACCCTTTTTTAAAATCATTCATTGGGGAGAGGAAGGGGGAATGGGAGGGGAAAGTCAGAAGCGGAACTAGAATTTCTAAAATATGGGTGCATTACAAAAAAATGTATTTAGTGGGAATAGATCGTTACTTTTTTGGATAAATAACTTAGTGTTCTATCATGTGCATCATTCAATCTTTCTGAAGTACGAGTGTCAGTTGATAATATTAGCTCAATTTTATGAACTATGTACACGTTTAGTAGATATACAAATCATAGATTCACGTGCACCACAATTTCTATACTAAATTCACCAGTGGAGAAAGAGGATTACTAGGTAGGAATCAAACCCCTACCCAGAGAATGTTCAAGAGTAACCAACTAACCGAACAACTAAAATTCTCCTTTTTTTTTGGCTTGAGTTTGTGTATTATTTTTGGAATTTAATTATACACACGAACACCTTACACTTTCCTTCTTTTCTTACATCATATGTACACATATTTCTTATACTGTCAGTGCACATAACTTACCTTGTATATATTCTTTTTGTTGTGTTTACACAGGCGCGACAGCTTCATCACACATAGAGCCTTTTGTGATGCCTTGGTTCAAGAAAATGCAAGAAATATCCTTTCACCAAACTCCTTGATGAACACCCTTGGCATGAACAACAACCAATATTTATATGGAAGTAGTAGCAACATAAACTTAGGCACCTTCTCCAAATTGGGCAATAACAACAACAGCATCACAAAGACTACTACTACTACTACTACTAGTGGTGTTCAATTTGATCATCATCATGACAACAACCTCATTGGATCAAGTACTACTACTACTACTAACAATCCTTTTTTCCTTCAAGAAACAAATCAAGATTACAATCCTAACAACAATATCAAACCATTAATGGTCCATGGCCTAATGCAACTTCCTAATCTTGATCAAAACAATGATAACAACAATAGTAGTAGTACTATGTTTAACCTCAACTTTTTTCAAAACAATTTGTCTACCAATAGTGGAATTTTGGGTGATCATCATCATGATAACAATAATATAAGTTGTTCAATTCCATCACTTTATGGGGTACAAGTACTTGAGAGTAGTAATACAACTTGTTCATCTGGACCAATAATGTCAGCCACAGCATTACTACAAAAGGCAGCACAAATGGGATCTTCTAGTACAAGTAATATTAGTGCAACTGCCTCATTGTTCAAAGCCTTTGGAAGTACTAGTGGTTCATCATCTAGTGGCACAAAATCTGATCATCAAGCTTTCAACTTTGGTAGTGACATTACAGGTATGGTTTAATTAATTCTTAGACTTTGATATTTTAAAAAGAATTGATTTCGTTCAACGTTTGATTCAAAGAACTACGCTTACCCCCCCCCTCCAACTCTCTTAGCTCATAAAACGGCTTTGTTGCAATGGATGGTAGAGAGTTCATAGTACTAAAGCACTGAAGTGATCCAGTAGTCGGTAAAGGGGCCTAGAAGTGCCTACTAATACACCACACTACACTCGGATTTTCACACTTACAGAGCTAGGCGATCAATATCCTTGCTCTTCATCTCCATCTCTTTAATTATTTAGTCTCTGTCTCATTTTATATGACAAAATCCTTTTTAGTATTGTCCAAGAGAAGAGTAGTACATTTCTTTATTTGTTTAGAAAAAAGTTTACTTCGAACTTCTTGTTCTACCCTTAGTGACATGATTTTACGATTAAAAAAACGTATATGACATATTTTGTTAAAAAAATTATCTTCACCCTCTATTTATAACAAATGATAAATAGTTGCATAACATGTGTTTGCGCATAAACTTCTACCAACACTTCACCATGGCTAATTAATATATGCATTCTCAACTCATTGTTGTACTTAGCATTATATATATAGTATATGTTAAGAGGGTTTTATATTATAAACACAAGGTGCGGGTAAGTATTTATTTATCTTATAAATCATGGATTTCAAAAGTCAGTCTTTATTTTTTAAACTTCTTCACACCCCTTTATAAATTAATGTCACATAAATTGAAACGAAATAAATGTCATGTTTGTCTCTATCTATTATAATTTCTGGCTCCGCCACTGACTAAGAAAACCACTTTGCATGTCTAGTAGATGGTGGTATCATCAATGCTTATGGAGGTGGATCACATGAAGGCATGTACAATACATCAACAAAGTTGAACTTTGAGCAACATCAAGGTCCACCTCAAAAGAAACAATTAACTAGAGACTTTCTTGGAGTTGGGGAAATAGTAAGAAGTATGAATGGGAGATTTAGTACCCAAAGAGAACAACAACAACAACAGAATAATGGATTGAACAATATGATGAGCTCATTATTGGATCCAGAGAGAAACCAAACCCAACAGAGTTTTGGAAGTGCTACCAATTTTCAATGACTAGCTTGTTCAAGAAAAAAAATGTGAAAGTTAAATGAAGAAAAGGAGAGCACAAAAAAAAAACAGGTATAAGTTTAAATTTAGCTCATTAATTGCACAATTGATTCTGAGTAGCTTTGTCGAGATTAGAAGCAGATTATGCAAAGACTTCCAATAGTTTGTTTGACCAAGGTTTCGAAAAGTCAAAAGTGTTTATTATTAAAAAGTGAGTCAAAATTTTATTAGTGTTTGTCGAGACTTTTTAAAAGTGCTTCTCAGTGTATTTTATCATAAAATTCTTTTAGAAAAAAAAAAGAATACTTCTTTTTAGCTTCGAAAAACAACTTCTACTATATAAGTTCAGCCAAACAACTCACTTTTTAAAAATAAACACTTTTGTATCTCCGATTATTCAATAAATTCCACAAACAAAAATTCTTTATATTGTTATAATAATGGTATATATATGTATAGAGATTATTATTTTTCAACTTGAATTTCCAACTCAACAAAAATTCTATTTTGTGTTAATACATTTTGTATGAGGAGTTTGTTAGTATATTTGATCCACTTGGTTATCGTTTATCGTATTTTTATGCCACGAAAGGTATATTTGCTCTATTTTCAATAGTTCAGAATCGTAAAGATTTCTTAAAAGCACAGGCACCCTTATTGATTATTTTATGATTATATTTTGCAGGGTATGTATCTATGTTTGGAAGGAGGAGAATTTCTAAGGATGAAAAAACTTTGTTTGTTGTTTAATTTTCCTTTAAATTCTTAAGACTTTTTTTTTTACCCCTTTTTTGTAGTTATAAGTTCTATAGTCTTGACTCTATTTCTTTAGTCCTTTCTTTTTAGTTTTTTATTTGAAGTACTGTTCAGAAAAATAGGTCAAGACACGAACAATATTTAGTTTGATGAAAAAACTCTTAGATCTAAATGTAAATATATAATATGTTTGAATTTTCTTAATTTCTAGTGTACTTATTATAACAAAAAAATAATTTGAACCAAGAAAAAACAATCAAAACTTAAAATTATTGTGATTATCATAGTTTTTTTTTTTTAAAAAAAAATTCATTGCAATAAGTGTTATAGTCTCTATGAATTCTCTGATAGTTTGATTATTTATTTATTTTAAAAAATGATCTTGAATTAGACGGATTTGATCTTCAATGTGAATTTAACTATTCGTAATGGGCGGCACGGGTAAATATCTCACGAACAAGTAAGTTTGATCTCGAATGTTTTGATATTTGATATGCCTTCATTAAATTTGATATTGAACACCTTGTATATTTAATTTGCCTTTCTCTAGTTGAAGCTTGTAGAGCAATGCTTACAACTTGTATAGAAAATTGTAGCTTATGATCCACAAATTTTCTCGACATCTTGTTAGAATTTAGTGTCTTTTCTGAACTATTTAAGATATTTATTTATGATTGTAGGATATAAGGGTTGTGATGAGGATAAACTCTTTTCAACATTAAAATAAAATGACATGACAACATTTGATTAGTCGAAACATGACATTTATATACATGACACATATTTTTGTTTTTTGTTTAACTAGATATGCCATGTCATTAATTTTAACATGTAATATGATTCCATTAATTTTATTTTATTTTGTTTTGTTTTACCTGTCATGCATATTACATCATTTGACATATAACACTAGACGGAGCCTCTATAATAAGGTGACTTTGTAGCACAATTAAATGAATCAGTCCAACAAAATCAAATCATTAACTAAACTCATGTACATTTGTTGGACTTTAAGACGTTAAATCAATTATATTAGCCCATAGTATTTTATTTAAAATAATATATTGTAAATTTAAAAATATAGTCTGAATAATTTAATCGGCGTATTAGTTAAAATATATCTCTAGAACAATCTAAGGGTATTCAAATCAAATGAAAAACAATGAGAATGGTGTAGGATCATAGGTATACAATACTAGTATATCATGTATAAAAGCATATATTATTTGTCATTTGATCAGGATATCAATTAATAAATATTCTTGAGAAATTTATTTATAAATACCTAATTATATATAACTTAATTGTGTAAATACACTTTTTGTTAGTTAGATGTATCATTTTGGATTTGGACTAAAAAATTAATTTGGTGTATGATATGATGTATAACTAAATATTGCACAAATCAAATATTAATTTATCGAGTGATTAACGATAAGAAGACATTATTCAACTAATGCATGATAAAATATTCTTGAAATTTGTCCCTTCCCAAACGAAGTTCTTGAACATGTAAGATCCAATTAAATAAATAAAAAAAAGTAAGTCATCTCGAGGCTTTCAAATGTGTATGATGATCAATTTGTATCGAATTAAAAGTGTTGTTGCCATGCAAAAAGTAATTAAATATGATCAATTATGAAATCCATCATAAGTTTGTACTTGATTATTTGAATATATATATATATATATATATATATATATAGTTAATTAGAATAAAACTTATCTATACCAAATGAATGAAGAAATTTGGGATAACGTTGGACTGATCTCCGTGATGAACAAGATGAAAAAAAAAAAAATTGATAAAATTTCTTACAAATCAACTTAAACTATATCATCCTTATTTAGAAGGGACCGTTGGAGAGGACCAACATAACATTAAATTGTGGTACAAAAAGCAAGGTAAATTGTACTACAAATAGGACTTCATCTTATAACAATAGGGTAACGTGTACTGCTTTCGGTAAAATAGGTGTAGCACATCTCTTCATGTCAAAAAATTGGAACATTCGAATTCATATTGACTCTCTTAATTGACTTTACACATGCATATTTTTTTTACCAATATTTTGCAGTATCAAGATCTTAAATGCTTAAACATTAGTACTATTTTCTTAGCAATATGATAAAATTTTCTCAAAGCTTTTGTTTCATGTATTCATTTTGGTTGAATAGATACAATTAGTGTGTTAAAATCTTTTTCATCTGAACAATAGTGAAAAAATTGAAGATAAAAAACTAACAAACTAATAGGAATAAATAAAAATGTTGATGCTAGGGGAAGTTTGGAAAATGGGTGTGAGTAGAACAAATGTTGTCATGTTAATTGGGGGTAATGGGAGCATTGTATAATTAAGGCTATTTGTTAGGAACTTTTTTCTTAACCTTGAGTTTGTTGCTCAAGATTAGCTACTAACTCCTAATTTTTTTTTATATCATATGTGCAATAGGAGTAATCTCATTATGTAATATAATAATATTGTGTTAAACTATTGTCATATGCTTCTTATAGAGTTATATATTCGATATGTTATCTTCTTTTATTTGTAGCATGATATTTTGTCATTAGAATTTTGTGGCATGATCATTGATACATTTTAGATTAAGCGATACACTTTCTAAAGAAAATAAATCAGTTGTATCTTTTAGAATTTCAACTAATTGATGTGATTCTCTATGTTTTGCTTATTGCCTTTGTTAGTTTGGCAAATAAAATAGTAGATGAAAAACTGAAGCTTTCGCTTAATTGTAAGTATGATCTCTAAAATGCTTGTGATTATCTTGCGCAAATACTTTGAGCTAGTTTAATCTCACATCAATTCTCTGAATATTTTTACTCCTTCCCCGTCCTTCATTAGAAGTGAAACAAATATTTATTTTGTAATTCACAAGCCTTTCATTTTAGTTTTCATATTACTACCTTATTTCTTTTGACTCATGAGTCTGATTGTGAATGGATGAAATGTGAGATGTAGATGAGATGAAGAGAAGCAAATATTTTTAATATGTGCTCTTTCTATGACCCCCAGATTAAGAAGCACAAGGATAGACAAAACAATAGATTTTGAAGACTAATTAAGTTGTTCTATTATATGCTAATGCAATAAATAAATTCTCTCAATGGTTTGGACAACACATATTGGTGAAATGTGATGTTATTCAGACTCATGGTCTGGTTTGATTGTTATATGTACAAAGAGTCGAACTGTTCGATATTGACAAGTGCAACCTTTGATGGTAAGCAACTAATATTATATATATATATATATATATATATATATATATCAATATTTTTAGCTATGCAAGAAGGAATAAGCAATGGACTTGATTTTTTTACTCCTCTAAGCACCCCAATGCACTTCCTTTCTTGAACTCGTGCTATCCCACATAGTTGAGACATATAAACAAGAAGCAAGCGGAAACATGTGTTGCAAATGAAGCTCTGAAATTGTTGTTGGAAGTTCGCAATTTTAGCATTATTTTTGCACGTATTGTAAAGAAAAAGTTGTGTTATACCGATGTTGTACAAAGAATTCTTGATTAACTTTATTTATTTCAATAACATGTTGGGCCCGTGCATCGCACGGCCATCCCATTCTAATATCAACCTAATTGATAGACCGAAATAAGTTGAATAAATAAAAAAAATTATTAATAACCCGCTCAATCTTTGACAAATTGAACAAGTTATGTTTTATAGACAAATTTTACCACTTCTAATAATATATAATATATTTATTTTTCATGCAAATATACAACCTTATCTTCTTTTTTCTTACAAGTAACCTAAAAAAAAGGAAGAGAAGAGAAAAAACAACAATTTCTTAACATATAGTGAAACGTGTAAGATACAATATATTGTATGTGTGACACTCCAAATAAAAATAGAAGCGGGCCTAGTTATCAATAAAATTAAGTTATGTAAATAACTTATTCGAATAAGTTAGAAGACATTTTTTGTAATTTTCCATATACAAATTTAGAGAAAATAATAAACATGACCCTTTATATTTGAGGGTAAATTTTAAATAGTTTCATTTAATATGTATTAAGTAATTCTAGTTCTTTTTAAGTATATCAAATAGTTCATTTAATATGTATGTATTAAACAAACTCCATTTCTATAGATGAACTAAGATATCACCTTGTTACTAGATTTTCAATTTTTTTAAATTTATATTTAATACATTTCTCAATATAAAATACAAAGTTTATGCGAAAGTTACTGAATTTCGAGAACTCATTCCTACCACTCTTAATCCACCCTTATTCTCTTGTCAACGCTTTTGCCGAGCTCATCACACTAGACTAATTTAGTACAATTTTTATATATTTTTTTATGTAATTTTATAAGTTATTAGTTTATTACACAAAAATATTCATAACCAAATACGAAAATAAACCGAGTAAACTCTTTCTCTAGCCAAAAATAAGAGGCCATTTTTATTAATTTCTCTATATTTTTTACAATAGTGTTGGGATTTTTTTTTTAAAAAAAAACTACAATGAAGCTTTTTGTAATTAGAGCAAAACTAAGTATAAGTATATGTATATATAAAATATAAAATATTAACCAAAAATATTTTAAAATATGTATATATATGAAAAACTATATAATATAATATAAATTACTATTATGATAGAAATTCCCTTTTCTGAGCCGGAGAACGAAACGAACAGATCGGTGTGTTACAGAAGAAATCTACAAAAGGGTAAAAATTCTTCAGAATTAGGGTTTCCGTTTTCTCTTTCTAAGTAGTTGCCGCCGGAAAATTGAACAGAGAGAAGCCATGGACGGCGTAATGTCGGCGTCGGACCAGCAGATGCTAGTTTCTTCTTTCCTCGAAATCGCCGTTGGACAAACCGCCGATACTGCCCGGCAGTTCCTCCAGGTTTCAAAATTTCTGTTTCTAGACTTGCTTAGTATGAATGCATGTGTTTTGCTTTATGTGGTTACTGATGATAGCAGATCCGGTATTGCACTCTCCGGCTATGGCTGTGGACTAGTGTGCGATTTGAACTTTATTTTACTATATTCGAAGTGCGGGTTGTAGATGTTGGGTCCTAATTGCTTTAGGAGAGTTAAAGTTGTATGTTTTCAGCATTTTCATGTTGAGATATAGAATTAATCAATTTGAGCTTTAGTTTTTGTTCTTTGTTTTTTTTTTGTTGTTTAAAGATCCGAGCTTTATAAAGAAGAA